TTATATATATATATATATATATATATATATATATATATATATATATATCCACCTCAATTTTGTTTACAATTAACGTTTATTACTTAAATAATTAAATAAGTATATAGAATTATCATTTTCTTTTTATAAATAATAAGTTCATGAATTGATATGCCACAGAAAAAACACACACATGACAATCTCCCTAAGTCTTTGTCTGAATAGAATAAGATATTAACGATGTTGGTAGACAGTTATCTCAAATTTTCCCGGATCTTTCCTTTACAAAAATTCGTGAGCGATAAAATATTCGTTTAGTGGGGGTTTTGGGAATATAAATATATATATAAAAATTTGGGACTCAAGGATCGGCCTAAGTGTGGAAGGTTGATTTGCCGCGTACGATGATCGAAGAAATTTCGATACGTGCGTGTAACATGCTGAACATGTTATCCTCCCACTATCATATTAATGTTAAAAAAGTAATATTAATATCTAATAACGCTAAGACATCCGTGCTTGCTCCTTATATGCCATTTTTCAAATCTTACTGATAAAATATTCATTCGGGTCTTATAAACCCAACATCGTACGCAAAATGTTAAAAAAGGATATCATTATAGCGTCTTCACGATAATTGATTTTACGTAGAGATATAGATGTCATTATTATATAATATTATGTCAACATGTCCTGAAAGCCAAAATAAATACGACGGTCTCAGCAGTAATCAAATCTCAGCAAAGTTTGACTTAATTGGTGTGCAATCATCCGCGTGTAAATTAACGAGCGACTCCCTCTCGAGCGACAGATTCCTTTATCGAGACGTGCCGAAGGAAGAGGGCGCTCCTTCGTCTGCGTGCATCGAGAGGAGCCAGCGTAAATCTGCGGCGATATCGGCAGACTCGTTTGCGGCTACACGCTGTACCGCCCCTTTGAAACGAGCAGCGACAGATTGGTATTACCATATTGGGAAAGGGACTAGACTTCTTATTTCCCTATCCTTTTGCCGCCGTGGGAAAGGGAAAAAAAAGGAAAAAGCGTTCGACCTCCTTTTCTCGTTCTCTCTTTCGCGACCGGCGTCTCGTTTCTTACCCCCGATTCTCCATTTCGACCGCCTTTCCGGAGCCGTTCCTTTCCCAACCCTATGACGCATCCCTCCCCACGCGTGTTTTCTCTTACCACGCGTCTCTCGCGCGTCCCCTTTTTTCCATCTCAGGCTCATCCGATTCTCGTCCACACGCAGATTTCAATCTTGTTTGGCCGAAGCATCGACACGTCCTCATCTTCTCTTTTCGTTTCTCTCCGCAAACTGCTAACCCCTGCCTGCCTCTCACGACACGCGACGCTCTTCCGTCTCCTTCATCCTACATCGAGTCTGCGATTGTTAAACGGCGTTGAAACGGAGAAGGACAGTCGACCTAGGCGTCTTCTATATCGATCGCTCACGACACATCAGCCGCAAGCTCGATTGGGGATCCCCGGTAACTTCCGCAGGAAATTCGCGAAACCCTCTCTTCATCGAGAGAACAACCCTCCGATTTTCGCGCCGTCATCTTCTCCTCCTCTCAATTCTCCTTCCTCCCTTTCCCTGATGCTTACCGATACTTGAGATCTCGATTCCGATCGGGCCGACTTACACCTTCTATATCGAGAAAAACAACCCCTCTTGAAGGAGTGCATCGGTCCCACTTCGGCCGAGCTCGGCCGTTGTTCCCCGGCCTGGGAAAAGTCTTTTCCAGTCCATGAATACATTAGGAGCAAACAAAGGGCCGTCTGCTATAATTCCGCGACTCTTTCCTCACTCCAGCGACGTTACACGCGTTTATTAAACCCGGTTCGTCGACGCACTTTCTTCAACACTTTACGAGAAAACCAAGGTTCTCCTAGGCTATCCTTTGGGAAGGTTCGATGTTCCGCCTCTTTTTATCCCGATCCGCGGTATTATCGCGAGACAAAAGCAATTAACATCTGTTCGGCCGCTTTGAGGGCTGCTTTGGCGTTTGAAACGCGAGGATTAATAACACTGTGCGATAGATCCCTTTTTGTGCTCCACGAGTGGATATAGTCATTTCCAACGTATTTTTGGCCGCTAAACATAAAACCATTGACTCAATTGAGCTATTATATCATAATTTTTAGAAAAACTGAATAAAATGGACCAAAAACGACGATTTCGAGATATTTCATGACATGGAAGCAGCAACATTAATTTTTTCTGTTTTATTTATAATTTTATTAAGGCTATAAGAAAGTATAAAATATAAGTTTTAAAATGCGTTATGTTTTGTTTATAATTTTTTATTTTGAAGATATAGCTATTTAAAATTAGCCTTTTTCCCTCATAAATATAAAAAAATATTAAATTTTATCTAAATACTATATTGCGTGGGAAGTAGGTATTTTTTGTACTTGCGTAATATAATCAGCAAATACTAGGTAAAAAAGGTAAAAATTGCTTCAAAAATTTCACACGTGAGTTAATCTATGATATAGATTGCGTTTTTATCCATAATACAGACAAACGCGTGCATGAAATTGCTAAAGTTATTGTTGCTTTATTTAGTATTTTCTGATAAGTACAAAAAGCACTTATTTATCACACAATGTAGCATTACGATAGAATTGAATATCTTCTTCATTTATGACATTATAACAGGGAAAGGATCAATTTTAAATAGTTATATGTAGTATTACGATAGAATATGTAGTTACGATAGTTATATGTAGTATTACGATAGAATTGAATATCTTCTTCATTTATGACAGGGAAAGGATCAATTTTAAATACTTATATTTTCAAAATGAAAAAGCGTACGGAAACGAAACAAAACGCATTTTAAAGTTTAAAGTTTGTATTTTCTTAGTAGTAAAATTAAAAAAACAAATATCACTAATGCAATGTTATGAAATTCCTCAAAATCGTTGATCCACTTTATCCCATTTTTCAGAAAATTGTGAAATGATTGCCAAATTCGGAAACGGATTAATGTTTAGCGGTTAAAAATATGGTCAAAAAGTCAGGAGTGGCTATTTACACTTGTAGGGCAAAATAGTGTCGAACAATGTAATTTGGAATAAGTGTAGGATGATATCAGTCGCGAAGCTGACGTTGATTGAGAAAGATTTGCACACAAAGACACTTTACTTATAGTATTTATAGTATTTATAGTGGTAACATTACGATATATGAATCGTTTTCTATGTTCTCTTTCCAGACTGAAATCTGTTCGAGCGCTCTTACTGACGTGATTCACGCTGTCATTAATGGAACGGATGGTTGTCTGTTTTGCTTTGGACACGCTGGCTTGGGTAAGTTTTATAATTCCTCATTATTATTAATTTCAAATATTTAATTAATAATATCAATTCTCATTGGTTCACGCGAGGTCCAAACGTGGTGATTCCCAATGTGGTGATTATTTCATTTTTATTATCTTTATTGTGTGCCCTCAAGAGTAAATAATTTATTCCATTTTTTATTCCAATACATATGTATAAATATGTTATACAATATATTGCATAAGCAACATTCTAACTTGCGTTTCTTGAAAGGAAACGCGTGTAAAGGTACATCACGGGTTTCCCGAAAAATTTAATATATGAATACTTATTTTCCAAGAAATAACGCATATCTTAAAGCTCATACGTGAGTCGAGACAATATCACGAGCTTCCCCGTTCTTTACGCTCTCGCGTCTGGCATAGGCGAAACTCTATTGACACACCAGTCCTCGACCGCGCGACGCTTGTCGACCAACAGCCGTGAAAATAATTACGTGAAATGCGAATATTTCGCGGAATTTTTATCTCGTGAGCTTTACTTCAGTCGAGTGCAATGTGCCAGCATTGCATGTGCACCATATTACGTCTCGTGCCATTTGCCCGATATTGCCATGACATTTCTCGAATTGCACAATGTCGCAATTACATTGTACACGACATTTGAAACAAGAAAGTTTTTAAAATTAAATGCTTGTTAAAAAAGAAATATATGCCATGAAATAAAATTCTACAATATACGTCCAATAATTCGATGTTTGAGGTAGATTTATCATCAATTATCATTAATTATCATAGTTACAGTAATTGTGCTATATTTTTAGTGACGTATTAAGAAAGCTACTACTCATTTACTACCTGTCAAACAAAATTATTTCTCTATGTACTTATTTCATCATCGAAGTATTATTGTTAATTTTAAACGAATTTGAAAGATAAATACGTATAAACATTATTGCAAATACAAAAAAAACTGTTATGTTAATTCTTCTGATGTGTTTTATTTATGCATCAATTTATCGAATAGAAATGTACAGATAATAAGAAGAGGTACATAAGTATTTAAATATGCTTATTTGTATGTATATTTTTTTAGTATTACTACAAATTATGAACAGCTATATCTTAGAAACAAAATAAATAATTATATATTAATATTTTTTAATATCATAGTAGAGTTTTTCATCAAAATCTCACATATAGTTTATAATATATTAAGAATATAGTTCAAAAATAATAAAAATAGAAAATAAAACTAGCAAAGTTTAATTATAAATATCCCGACTCTTAAATAGTCAATTTTTTCTATAATCCCACGAGCAGTTAGATAATATTTTACTGTATATGTAGTGCAAGTCACATAAAAAAATTCATTTCATGATACAACTGCATAAAATTCAAATAGAATTTACAAAGAATTTCAGATGAGTTTTATAAGACAGCAAAATTTCCCGTCGTTTATCGTAGATAAATTATATTTCTTTGTATTTCAAGTAAGGGTATAGACTGAAAAATAATAGCAGATTATCGGATCAGAGAGATTTCCTGAAACTATCCATAGCACCAGTGACGTAAATTTTCTATATTTGGACTATCGTTCGTCCGAATATGTTCAAGGTTACTTCTCCTTGACCCAAGAAATAAATTATTCGGGAATATCGATGATGTCCTCTCAAGACGAAGGGAATGTCGCGAGGATCCTTTATTTAGGCGCATTCCTACCTTCGCTCGCTCCCTCGACTTCTTCTCGTCTCACTGCCGCGAGGAACGCGCCGGCAAAGGCGCGGAGTTGTTTTACATTTTAAGTAGTGATATCGAGTTTGCATGCAAATGCACGATTATGCGTGGAAAGTGCTCGGAAGGGAGGAGATCCTCGAGTGGTAATGTCAGCACGGAAAAAGAGCGAGAAAAGCGAGGAAATCGGAGACGAGGTGGAACGAGAATGAGGAACGAGGAGAAGACGAGAGACCGGAAGAAGCAGCGATAATGTATGCCACTGGGACACACTTTCTCCCTCGCACCTTTCGAATCTTAACACGGTACAACCCGGGAGATCCTGCGCGCCCCGTCGTCGCGCGCTTCCTGCGCGAGAACGACTTCCGAACTGACGGAAGTTTATGGAAAACATCTCGTGGTTTCTCCCCGCGTAAAATGTAAATTTTCGACGAGATGATTATTGATCGAGAAATCTCTCCACACAGTCCAACAGAATATAACGTGCGGATGTATAATAATATTTTGCACGCGAGATTTACGAACGCGAATACTGACATTTTAATTTCATAGTTGATTGCGTCCCGATGTTTATCTCAATTCTACGCGCGACAATCGTGATATTGAGATAATAATGCCCGTCGTCGACGACAAATCCTTTTCACGATGGTGCTTGTAGACGGCGCTCGTTAAAATATTTTTGACGTCAGAGCTAACTGGAATAGAGTTCTGATAACGCGATAGACGCTTTAACGTCTGCTCTCGCAGTCGACACCAGAACCAATTAAACTTTGTGAAATGATATCTCTCGCCGAGTTTCTTGGCGTTATATATATATATATATATATATATATATATATATATATATATATCGCGCTGAGGGATTTTTTACATCTGGCGGAAGAACAGGTGAATAGAAGTTTATTTGGACGCAATGTACGAAGAGAGATACCATTAATTGAACGAGACGGATTGCATTATTACGCGAGCCGAGTTGTCATAAATCGCTATGCGATTACAAACACGGATAAGCCGCGACTGTTATCTTGAAAATCACGCAAATGAATCGTGACTGTGTGTGCTTGTGGAGAAATTTTATTTCAGAGAATTTACTTCATCGCGTCTCGAAGGAAGTGGACGCGCACACAATTCCGCAAAGCGCTCCTAGCGAGTTTCCGTTCCTTCAAGTTCGATACGGTTTCATAATTCCGCAGCCGCGTTGAGAAATCGCCGGCTCTCTCTCTCACTCTCTCTCTCATTCTCTCTTTCAATATCGAAGTTAGCACAGTCAAGCGGGATTTCTCGGCGCGTGGGGAGGAAGCGTCGATAGAGTTGAAAATAAAAGGAGTCGCGTCGAGAGATAAGAGCCTAACGGCCGTAGACAAAGAGCCGCGCAAAAGGAAGCCAAACGAACTCTCCCGCGGCGTCTTCTTCCCTCCTTCCGAAGGTACTTCAGGCAAGTCCGCGAGCAAACTGCTTTTGATCATCGCTATGAGAGAACGTTTCTCTCCCTCATGCTCTCCTCCGTACTCTCTCCGGTTTCCGCCCTCGTTCTCCTTCGCACAGCTACTCCTCTCTACTTTCGCCTCAACTCTCCCCTAACTCTTTACCTCCTCGCGCCGTCGTTCTCTGACACGAAGGAGGCAGGCGAGAAAAACGAATCGACCGCGGTTAGGACAGCGGAAAAGGAAGAGCGACGAGAATAAAGGATGCAGAGACCAGGTTTGCGTAGATTCATCGAACGAGGAAAGCAGAGAGTATACACGCCACGCGAAAGCAATCGAACCAGCCCGACATTCTTGAAAATGTCTCGTGTGGTACACGCTTTCATTTCGTTTTTCATTTCGCGCACACACGAATCGGTAGCTACGAATCGGTGTAACCGACTGCATCACTTGCACGTGCGGCTGTCATCTGTGGTCTGAAAAATCGCGTGTAAAGGGCGTGTGGAGGAGCCGTGAGGGAAGGCGGAAGATGGGCGAAAGGGTATCGTGAGAAGGGGAAAAGCTGAGCAAGAGAGAGAAAGATAGAGAGGGAGATTGAGAGAAGCCCGCGTTTTCAAAGCACGGATCCTGTCTCTCGCAAGGGGAACAGAGGGACAGAGAGCGGGCGAAGGGCTATATACAGATATAGCGACGACAATGGGCCCGTTTGTACTTTGTAGCGCGTTCCTAATTACCCCCGCGCGCGGACTCCACGGCGGCGACGGACAACCCGCCGAACCCTTTGAGATCGCGGAAGGACCGTGAAAGTGGATTATGCAATGACGGCGAGGGGAAGAAGCACGCGTGCCTGATGCACTAGGACTCCCTTTCTCTCTCTCTTTCTCTCTTTCTCTTTCTCTCTCTCTCTCCGTCTGTCTCTCTCTCTCTCTCTGTCTCTCTCAAAAACACGACGCTTTGACAATGATAATCTTAGTAAGCGATTCAGTCAAAGGAATCGCGCTCGCGCGCACGTGTTACGCTTCTCTCGCTCTTCGGCCCTGTTCTACACGCGGATGAAGGGATTTATCTTGTTTTTGCTAATTCCCCAAGCGCGTAAATTCGTACGACACGCAAGTGCGTTATTCCTGTCTGCAGCGTCATGCGATATATGTAAAACGTTTTATCTTGTCGATTTGCAAATTATCAACTTGTCTCTTTCTTTCTCTCTCAGTTTCTCATAGACTAGGTATGTAGAATTTAGTCAACATTTAGCGGCCCTATAACTTGATTGTTCTCGAATTTAAACTGATTTCGTGTAATGTCGA